GGTTCTGGGGAGACACAATTCCACCCATAACAACAGGCTTACAGCATGACCAAACTGATCTCGCCATAAGCAATACAGTGAAAGGGAGAGCAAGGAACTGGCATGGATTGAACAGCTATTATGTGCAAGGATAGGGCTGGTCTCTTAAACCTGCTTATCTTATTTAAATCAAAATCAAAATAGCCCTGTGGAATAGATAGTAATCCCCTCATTTTGCAGACAAAGCACTTGAGGCTCAGAAGATTTAAGCAGTTTGCCCAAGGTCACTGTGATGGTTGAGTCTACGTGTCAACTTGACTGGCTCATGGGTGCCAGACACTTGGCTAAACATTCTTTCTGGGCATGTCTGTCAGGGTGTTTCCAGATGAGAGTAGTATTTGAACTGGAAGATGGAGTAAAGCAGGTTGGCCTCCCTGATGAGAGTGGGCTTCACCCAAGCCTCTGAGGTCTGAGCACACCCGGAAGATGCGGGAAGGGAGAACTGGCTCTCTGCCTGCGCGCCTGAGCTGGAACGAGTTTTCTCCTGCACTTGGACCGGAGCTTACAGCATCATTTATCCTGGTTCGTGGGCCTTTGGACTGGGACTGGGACTTATACCATTGGCTCCCCTGATTCTCAAGGCCTCTGGGTTTGGACTAAAACTATGCCCCCAGCCTTCCTGGGCCTGGGCGTGCAGATGGCAGGTTGTGGGACATCTCACCCTTCATAATCATGTAAGCCGGTTCCTTATAATAAATCTTTCTCTCTCTAGATACAGGTACATACAGGTAGATATAGATGTAGATAGAGATAAATCCTGTTTGTTCTGTTCCTCAGGAGGACCCTGACTAATAGCCACCCATTGAGAAGGGGACAAAAGAAATTCAAATACAAATTATGTCCAAAAATTCCTGCTTTAAAAAGCCAAATATTCTCAAGCTTTGAAGGTGCATTCATTTTCACACATGCTTAAAATGTCCAAACTGGATGCATTTGTCATGTTAACAGTGATAGGAAAATAGTGGGAATTAACAGAACGGTGTTAGAAGCCTCAAATTTCACATCTGTCATAACCAGATATATGACATTGAGCAAAGCACCCAATTCAGCTGCCATAAGGCATATAAAGTGAGTTTGGACTTGATATTTAACGCACTTTCTTAATTTTCTATGATTCTTTGAAAATAGGTGTTCTTTAAGTTATTTAGACTATTCAAAATCTATGTTATGTCTTTCATTTCTTTTCCAAGCATTGTCCGGCACACAATGAAAACACATTCTTTACATTTATGTACAGAAATCCACTGGTAACAGTTTGAAGCAATAGTCCTCAGTATTTTTCCTTGGGATGTCCTATTCCTGTTCTTTCCAGCATTTTTGTTTCAAAAACTCAACAATGCATATAAATATCTTTCTATATTAATGAATAGACTATACCAAAATTTAAATTAGTGCAGATTATTCATCATAAGCTTTATATGTAAAATATGATTTGGTCAATCAATGCTCTATTGTTGGGAATTTGAAATTTCTCATGTTACAACACTGTGATGAACATCTCTAGAGCCCAATCTGTGGTCCCATTTCTTTTGACCTTGAAAAAGACAAACGTATATGACTTGGGAACTCACTGACTGTTGAGATCAACAGATAAGGAGAAATTTACTTATTTACAAAACAGGAACAGACTCACAGACATAGAAAACAAACTTATGGTTATCAGGGCAGATGAGGGTGGGAAGGAATAAACTGGGAGTTCGAGATTTGCAGATACTAACTACTATATATAAAATACATAAACAACAAGTTTCTACTGTATAGCACAGGGAACCATATTCAATATCTTATAATGACTTATGTTGAAAAAGAATATGAAAACAAATATATGTACATGTATGACTGAAGCATTATGCTGTACACCAGAAATTGACACACTGTAAACTGATTATACTTTAATTTAAAAAACTATATATAGATAGAGATAAAAAAATTTAAAAAATTAAAAGTAACTCAGGTATTATAATCATACTCTGCTCTCCTTTCTTGTGGAGACTATGTTCTCCAGGGTTGATGTTTTTTCTCATCTGGCTTATAAATTATAGTTCCCTTTTCTCACTTGTAAATAAAAGTGGATATTCAAAGAAGAGGACTTTCATAGACTAGAGAGGACTGCTCTCCTTTTAGCTAGGACTTACCAAGAACTGTGATCTTAAAAAAAACTTTTCAGTTTCAATCTGGATGACAGGGAAAACATTATTGCCACTAAGAAACCTTGGTTAAGGAAAAAAAAATTGAGGGGAAAATAATGAGGCTTGGGTGAGTTTAAGGTTCAGGGAAATAACAGGATGGAGATGACAGACAGGCATTTGGAATGCAGGTCTTGATTCTAGGGGAAAATCTAGAATTTCTGATTTCAATTTGAGAGTCATAAGTATGGAGACTATAGATAGGAGTAGGATATTGAGT